AAGAAGAAAACAAAGAACCTCTACACGATCATGTAAAAACACTCATTTTCCTTCGTCATCATCTTCATGATGGATTGAAAATTGAATATCTCACTGAGAAAGATCTATAGGCTCTTTGAAAAAAATTAACCGACAGATTTGATCATCAGAGGACTATAGTCCTCCCCAAAATTCACTATGAGTGGATACACTTTCGTTTACAAGACTTCAAAAATGTTGGTGAGTTCAATTCTAAGTTGTTCAGAATATGTTCAAAATTGACATTATGTGGAGAAAAAAATTACTGATGAAGATATGTTGGAGAATTTTTTTTTTTCACATTTCATGCCTTGAATGTGCTTCTACAGCAGCAATATCGTGAGCGTGGTTTTAAAAGGTACTCAATACTCATACCTTTCCTGCTCGTGGCTGAAAAAATAATGAACCGCTAATGATAATCATGGATTATGTCAAATTAGTTCTATACCATTGCCTAAGGTAAATGATACTGTATTGTCTGAAGCAAATACAATATCAAGACAAAGACATAAACATAGACATGGACGTGAACGTGCACATGAAATAAATCTTGGAGAAATAACCAACAAAGCTATCAGCAACAAGATAGCAATTTCAAAGGGTACAAAGCAAATGAATGTAGCATATCTAAAAGGAGCACGAAGAAAGTTACTTTAGAGATAAAATGAAAGTTTATTGGGCACGTATCCTATCATACATCAAAACATCTTGATGATCTTTACCAAAATTCAATCAAGGAAAAAGTGGAGATAAATTTTGCTGATTACAATAATCCCATTGATGTGACTTATTTGGAAGTCTCAGATTTCTTCGTTGATCCAAATGAGAATATTGATTATTGATTGGGGGTGGTGTGATAAAAGACATAGATTAACTTATTTTCTTATCTTTAGTATTTCTCTATATTTTAGAAATTTTGTTTGAAATATATTTTTCCTTTTCACAAAAAAAATAAATAAAATAATAATAATAATAATAATAATAATAATAATAATAATAAAACTTGAAACTTTATTATGCATCGTTAATTTCGTAGTATTGAATTATATTTATCCTTTTAAATTTAAATTCAAATTTTTAAAATAAATTTATTTTGTTATATTTATATATTCATGATGGATTGTCAGGATAATTGTTTGATTGATAATGCAATTACATATCCTATTCTTCAAGACAAAAAATATTTTTTTGACTTAACATTAACATAAAATAATGTTAATACAATATCAAGTACATCAAATATCGTTGAAAATTCTGGAAGAATATTATTTTACCAAATAATATAAAATTATATATTGACAATGTATCAAATCCAGAATAAATTTTCTTAATTTTAAAGATATCCACTGCAATGGATATCACATTGAGACGATACAAGAAAATAATGTTAAATATCTTTGCATAATTTTTTTGTATCTAGTCAGAAGTAGATAAAAGAAAAAGTTCATGCACTCTCAACTTACATGTATTTTACATTTATAAAAATGGTTAAATCAAATATTGTTACGAACCAGAAGTTCGTTGAACCAAAAAAGTTTATACTTTGATATGATCAATTTGGACATCCAAGAGCTATAATAATGTGTGAAATAATAAAAACTCACAAGAATATCCTTTAAAGAATTAGAAGATTATTTTACCTAGTGATTATCCATGTATAGTTTGTTCGCAAGACAAGCTAGTCATTAGACCTTTGACTACAAAAGGTCAATATTGAATCCCCAATTTTCTTGAAAATAATTTATGGAGATATATGTGGGCTAATACACCCACCATGTAAACTATTTCGTTATTTTATGGTATTGATTGGTTCTTCTACTATATGGTCATATGTTTGCCTACTTTTCACTAAGAACGTAGCGTTTGCTAGACTACTTGCTCAAATTATAAAATTACGAGCGCAATTTTTGGATTACTCAATCAAGATTATTCGTCTTGACAATGCTAGTCAATTTAGAATACAAGCATTCGATGATTATTGTATCTCAATTGAGATTGTTATTGAACATTCGGTTGCACATGTCTATATCCAAAAATTGTTTAGCAAAGTCATTTATTAAACGTCTACAATTTATTGTTAGGCTATTATTTATGAAAATAAAACTCCCATAATCTATTTGAGGTCATACCATATTACGTGCTACCTTATTGGTTCATATAAGACCAACTATCTATTATCATTTCACCTTTGCAACTTGCATATGGTCATGAACCTAATATTTCTCACCTATGATTTTTTGTTGTACAGTCAAAATCCCTATCCCCCCCCCAAACATGCTAAAATCGGTCCCCAACGAAGACTTGGGATTTATGTCAGTTATGATTCACCATCTATTATTAGGTATCTTGAACATTTATTTACTGTATGTTTTGCAGATTGTCATTTTGATAAAATGACTTTTCCAACTTTAGAAGAGGAAAAACTATGTAAAATTTATTGAAATGAAATAACCCTATCTCTCTTTGATCCACATAGCAATCAATGCGAGTAAGAGATTGAAAAATCATTTATTTGCAAAAGGTTACAAATCAATTACCTGATGTAATTATTCACAAAAAAGTGACAAAATCGTATATTCCGGTAGAAAATATTTAGCAAAACTTGAATTTCCTATAGGACAATCTGTTGTAGCAAATGAATATCAAATACATTAAAAGCGTGGTCGATCAGTTGGATCAAAATACTCTGTACCTCGAAAAAGAAAAGTATATGAGAAGAACTAGCTAAAATCTCTGGAAGAAGTAAAATTAGATAATTTTAGTTTTTGTAGACAAGGCTCTAGTTGGAGAGAGTAGAAGTGGGAAGTGTATCGTTATCAATTTGATACAAAGATTCTACAACCCGGAGTCCGGCCAAATATTCTTAAATGAAGTGGAAATCCAAAAATTCAAGCTAAGCTGGCTGAGGCAAGAAATGGGTTTAGTGAGTCAAGAACCTATTCTTTCAACAAAACAATTCGTGAAAAACATTGCTTACGGGAAAATAGGGTTGCAACAGAAGGAAAGACCATTTCAGCAACAAGAGCTAGAAATGCACACAGCTTCATACCAGGATTGTCTCAAGGATACGATACTAACGTTGGGTGAGGGGAATTTAATTGTCTGGTGGACAAAAGCAAAGAATTTTTGTAGAAAGAGCAATATTGAAAGATCCAAAGATAATTTTGCCGAAGAAGAAACAACTGCACTGGAAGCATATAGTTTAAAAGCCTTTAGATGGAGTTATGGTGAACAGGACCACTATTGTTGTAGCTCATTGCTTGACTACGATAATGGGGGCAGACGCCATTGCTGTTGTGAAGAATAGAGTGATTGTTGAAAAGGAAAGTCACGATGTGCTTATGAAAATGAAAGACGGAGTCTATGTTTCATTGGTTGCTATACACTCTAGTTTAGAATAAAGCTGGTTTTTAACTAGTATCTATGGCCATCCCGATGCCAGTAAACGTATGGATACCTGGAATCTACTGCAAAGCCTGAAGAGGGACCCTTTAGAATTATGGCTTTTCTTTGGCGACTTCAATGAAATTTTATCAAATGAGGAGAAATGGGGAGGCTGAGACAGACCTCGACACCAACTAGAAAATTTCCAGCAAATGCTCTTTTATTGTAAACTAAGAGACCTCGGATTTAAAGGGTCCCATTACACATGGTACAATGGAAGACACGATGCTACACAGATTTTTGAAAGACTCAATTGTTTCACAGCAAATCTCTTGTCGGTTTTTTCTAGAAGCTACAGTCACTCATGGATCCATTGCATACTCTGACCATCTACCACTCTGGGTCCAGCTTTATGGCACTCATCAAACACCTAACCGACCCAAACCATTTCGATTCGAATCAATGTGGCTTGGCGAAAAGGCGTGTGCTGATATTATACTAGATCAATGGTCCGACTCAAGCAATTAGGATTTGGAAAATATCACTCAAAATATCAGAAACTGTAGCAATAAACTCCTTGGAATTCTACCAAATTCGGCAAGGTGCAAGTGAAACTCAACAACGCAAAAAAAAAAAAAAAAAAAAAAAAAAAAAAAAAAAAAAAAAAAAAAAAAAAAAAAAAAAAACACGCCCACATTCAAAAGCAGGAACCGAGAGCGATAAACTCAAATGATCTCCAATAGGTGATTGAAGAAGTACAAACTTGAATGGATAGAGAAGAACTCATGTGGAAACAAAGGTCTAGGGCAGCTTGGCTCGATGAAGGTGACCAGAACACACGATTCTTCCATGCAAAAGCTTCCCAAAGGAGAAGAAAAAATACAATCACTAAACTCTTGGATGACCAAAGTTGTTGGCAAGAGGGAGAGGCGTGTAACCACACAATAATAAACTACTTTTCTGACATGTTCACCTCTACAGGCTCAAGGAATCAAGCTGCTGTTTTGGAGCACATAAAATGTAAAGTAACTACTGAAATGAACAATGAATTGATACAGCCTTCTACAGTAATCAAAGTCTCACAAGCCTTGAAGGAGATGTATCCTACGACAGCCCCAGGTCCTGATGGTATGCCTCCTATTTTTTATCAAAAGTATTGGCCTCATATTGGTATCTCTATTACAAATGTTGTATTACATGCTTTAAATTTCAATGATTTCCTCCAAGATGTAAATCACACTTTTATTACACTTGTCCCCAAAATAAAAAATCCCCAGAGAGTTAAGGATTTTAGGCCAATAAGTCTCTGTAATGTCTTGTATAAATTGGTTTCAAAAGTTGTGGCGAACAAGATAAAATCAGTGCTACCTGTGGTGATTTAAGAAACATAATCAGCCTTCATTAAAGGGCGACTGATTACAGACAATGTAAATGTGGCCTACGAAGTACTCCATTTCCTACGAAAAAAGAAGAAGGGCAAGAAAAGCTACATGTCTCTCAAGTTGGACATGAGCAAAGCATATGATAGAGTGGAATGGTCTTTTCTTGAGGCGATTAAATATAAATTGGGCTTCCACGAAAAAATTATCAACTAGGTGATGGCATGTGTAACTACTCCTTCTTTCTTGATACTTATCAATGGCTGTCTCACGGGTCACATAATTCCCTCCAGGCGGCTGAGGCAAGGAGAGCCAATATCTCCCTATTTATTCCTCTTATGTACTGAAGGATTAATTAGCCTATTGAATGCAGCAAAAAGAAATAAAATGGTGACTGGTATTCAAGTATGTAGAGGAGCTCCAAGGGTGAATCATCTTCTCTTTGCGGATGATAGCTTGATATTCTGTGAAGCAAATGTTGAAAATACTACTCGACTGCAAGCTCTCCTTAGTTGCTATGAAGAAGCCTCGGGTCAACAGTTAAATAGAGATAAAACCTCTATGGTCTTTAGTGCAAACGTAAAATCAGACAAGCAGCAAGAAATAATGGCCCTATGGAACGCTCCTCAAACACAACAATATAACAAGTGTCGGGGACTACCACCTATGATTGGAAGATCCAAAATGCGAGCCTTCTTTGAAATAAAACACAAAGTCTGGTTGAAATTACAAAGTTGGAAGGGTGGCATGTTCTCCCAAGGAGGAAGAGAGGTCTTCCTCAATTCAGTGGCTCTAGCGATCCTCTCTTATGCTATGAGCTGCTTCAAACTACCCTCCACTTTATGCACTGAAATTGAAAGGATGAAGGCTAGATTTTGGTGGGGCCAAAGGAAGGAAGAGCTAAAAATCCATTGACAATCCTGAAATACAATGTGTATATCAAAATCCATGGGAGGAATGGGCTTTAAGGAGCTAGAAATTTTCAACATGGCTATGCTTGGAAAACAAGCTTGGAGGCTATTGCAACACATTGATAGCTTAGTGTATAAAATCTTCTCAGCCCGTTACTTCCGAGATGGTAACATCCTTAAAACATCTATTGGACAAAATCCCTTTCATGGTTGGCGTGGAATCTGGGAGGCAAAAAATCTATTGATCTAAGGAGGAAGATAGATTGTAGGAGATGGTAACTCTATACAAATTCTAAATGATAATTGGATCTCGGGTGTGAAAAATCTAAGTAGGGAGTTGGGAATTGATTTACAACAATAGCACAATCAACAACTTGACAACCCAGTGGCTTCATTGATTGACCCCAACATGAAGTGGTGGAATTTGACAAAGCTTAGGGCTCTATTCAATCCAAAAATACTGGAGGCGATATTAAAATTACACCCAAGTCCTGTGGGTGAAACAGATTTCTGGTCATGGGAGCATGAAGAAACGGGAATTTATTCCGTCAAGAGTGCATATAGATTTTTCAAGACTTGTCTATCTCCTGACCGAGGCAACTCCTCAAATGCGGCTAAAAAAAAGAAATTTTGGGATACTATGTGGCGTCTTAAGATCCCCCAAAAAGTTAAAATTTTTGCTTGGAGAGCTTGTAAAGATAGCTTGCCTTCCAAACAAAATCTGGTTTGAAGAGGAATCCCTATTGCCACTCAATGCTATTTTTATGACTACCAAGTAGAAGATCTATGCCATGCTCTACTCAATTGTCCCTGTACTTGTCAACTTCTAACCAGCCGATTTCCAGCGCTACAGAACAAGGACCACCTAGGAGATTTCATGCAAACAACTATGGATATAATGGCAAAAGACCCAAAGAATGCTCTCTCCGAATTTATACTCATCACTTGGGGTTTTTGGTTTCGCCGAAACAAAATGATACACGACCAGTTGAACATTCCACCGCAACAAGTAATTTCCACTGCTTTAGCCAAAAAAACCCTCTGCTGAATCAGGTCCATCTGCCAACTGTACCCCTGGGTCGCTTCTCCACAAATATAGGTGGTCCGCACCACCAAAACAAGCGTTAAAACTCAATATTGATCACACGCTATTTTTTTACTCTAATAAGTCTGGGTTCGGAATCATATTACGTGACAACATGGGAGAAATAGTTTTGGCAGCTAGTGGACCTGCAAACTCAATACTGGAACCAGAACAAATTGAAGTTGATGCGCTTGTGAGAGGTCTACAACTGTGCCTTAACCTTGGAATAACTCACTTGATAGTGGAAAGCGATTGCTTGTTTCTTGTCAACGAAATCAATAAATCAAGCTCATCCTTAGCCTTGATCCGATCACAACTTGCTGAAATAAATGTAGCATTTTCCTCAATGTAACCTCCAACACTGCAACAGACTAAGTGACAAAGCTGCTCACTCCCTTGCGCGATACGCATGGTCCCTGGAAGACATGTTCCTTTGGTGGCATAGTGTTCCTTTATTCATTGAAAATGTAATTTTCATTGATAAACACTATTGTACCCTTTCCTAAGGTTTATTACCTCTATGAATGAAATATTTTCCCATAAAAAAAATAGTTCAGAATAAAGCAAACAACGTTACCGAAAATTTTGAATTTTGATTTAGTTAACAACATAGATTTTATAGCATGTTATCATCTGCACGACTTTGATAATCTCACTGGAGATTTTATTTTTAGTTCAAAAAAAAAAAATGCAAACAAACCATTGATTAATTACTGCTACTTATATATGAGTCACTTAATCCAATATCTTCTTGACAAGACATTGTTGCCTAGACAAACTTCCCAATTCTTATCTTGGACTTAATAAGATTAACCACAATTAAGAAAAAAAATCGAGCGATGAAATAATTAGATGTTTCAAGAACGTGTATTTCAATGGAAATTAACATTGTAACTTCTGACATAAAATTTCCCTCATTGTTATGCTTCTATGTTTGAATTCAAATGGACTAATCAATAAAGGGGCCTTATTTGAGTAACAAGACTTGGATAATTCTTCTACTAGGACATAGATTTATTCAAATCTAAGCAACTTGGTTTTGGGTATAGATAGCAACAGCAATACCTGCATACATAACTGTTAGCAGATACCGAACCAAATTATTCTTAATCTAAATTCTCATGGTGTCAAGGTATGATTTCCCATCAAGTTCCCGCGAAAATAATCCTTTCGTATAATCAACAAAGCTGATCCTTTTAAATTTTGCTGGAGTTTCAGGGGTCACAAGGCTCGGTGTTGGACCAAAGTCACCATCTATATTTGGGTTGAAAAATGTGGCAATGGAGAGCCTTTCTTTCTTCGAGTTGACAGTTGCTCGATGTTCAATGCTTCGGTAAATTCCATTTGTCACAATCTGTGAAAGCAGGTAATGATAAGATCCTATGGAATATATGTTCTCGAGTCCAATTCCATATATACACTGGTGCCCACAAAGAGTCCTTTATCCATATTCCAATTGTCTTTGAAATGGTTTACCTATGGAGCTTTGGCAGACTTTTTCCCATCAATAACAGCTTCCTTCATAACCCGAGGTTCCCTAATCAAGCTCCCTGAATCTGTGTCCTCCTCACGAATTGTTTGGGACACACTTGGTGATTTAGATAGCTCTTCATTAAGTCCATCATTGGCAGAATGTAAAATGCCAATATTAGAGACGAGAGCAGCTGAAGAAGATCCATTAATCTTGCTAACGTGTTGGGCTGCTGAAGAAGACTGAAAATTCTTGCCAGCCTGTTGGGCTACATTTTTAGTAGAAGACTTGGACGGGCCCAATGAAATTTAAGTGGTCCAATAATTCCAGGTGGCCCACTTTTTTCTTTCCCATATTAGCGTCCAAAACAATTGAAAATAATCCAAAACCACGTGCAAACTGCAAAGCAAAATGTGATGATAAGTCAGCCTTGCTATTAGCCGCAATGTGAGGGTTCGATTTCTGAGATATGAAATTGGACTCTTTGTGGGCACCAGTGTATATATGTCAAAGCAAGCTGACTTATATACACTGGCTCGATTATTACGGATTCCATACTGTGAATATATGTTCTCCAGTTATTTCACTTTAATTCCCAAGGCATCGAGATTTTGATTAACAATTTAATCTCACTTATTGATACCTCAAAAAACTTCAAGTTAATAATCAAAGTTCATTATTCGCTCATGATTAAGGCACTACGTACAATAGTCGAGTGAAATTAGATTTAAGTGGTCAATTCCATAAATTAATTTCACGTGGTCCAGTTCAATACATTCCAAAATGTACAATCAATTTTATTGCTAAAGTCGAGATCAACTTTAAATAAAATTGAGACAATCTTATCAAAATAAAGTGTTTGTCTTTATTTACCGATTGTGGACAATAAGCTTTAGATCGAATTATAAATCAAATCTTTCCGTGTTTAACAACTTAAACACTTGATTTATAATATCAAGTTGATCCATGAACAAAATGCAAGCTCAAATTAGACAAACAGTTTATTGGAAAAACAAATTATTATTATTATTATTTTTTCAAAATGTCACGAATACAAATAAATTTACTCGAAGAGCTAAAATTAAACTAACACTGTATCCATTGAATCCTTCTACATCAACTTTTGCATATCAATCACAGGCATGGGCAGATCCAAGAGGGTTGACCCCCAACTTTTGAGATTTTTTTTTTTTTTTGGTATAAAGTCCTGTTTGGTATCGAAAATCTAAATCAAAATTGATAACTAATTTTAATAACACATTTCATGGATTCCTTAACTTTTAAATTTTATCAAAATTTACTAAAAATCGGACTTTAATTCCCATCAAACAGGAGCAAAATCACAATAAATTTGAATTTTCTCACTTTTTTATTGCTCTATCTCACTCTCTTCCTTACACCTTTTACCTAAACCTTAATCCGTCTAATTTTTTAACATTTGTTATAATTTCTCTACAATTATCACATCTACTACAAATTTTCAACTAATTAGAGCTTAAATTTGTATTTTCTCTTATACTATTTGTGTATATAGCATATGTTTAAACTGATTATATAAAAATTTAAATTATATCCAACCAATTGTGTTTATTTGATTGATTATTAGTATTGAATATTGGTTATATATTTTTCCTTTCGATTATTTGAATTGATTGTTTGAATCGTATACACAATTTTTTAAAATATAAATATGTATTTTCTTGTGATGAATAAAATATTAATAAAATGACTTTCAAAATCAAATAGATGAAAATGATGAGCAAAATATTAATGAAGAAATATTTTTTAAATGTAAATATGTATTTTCTTGGTTAAATATGAATCATTAGAAATTCAAGAACAAAATATTCGATTTGTACAAAGTTTGATTGTGCCCCTAATTCAAAATCTCTGCGTCCGCCCCTGATCACACAGGAATTTGATTTCCAGGTAATGTAGAAACGAGATGATCTTGATTAGGACGTTGTTATCTCGGTGGAATAGTGGTCGATTTCTCCTTAGCCAATTCTTGCACACTAGGCACTTGTAAAGAACTACCTAGCTTTTTAAACTTTGGTTCCATCTGCAGCAATTTTTTCAATGGTCTCTCCCTCTCCTATCTTTGTTCTTCTCTCTAAATTATATTACATTTGTTCTCCTCTGCTAATTATATTACGTTTGTTCCCTTAATGGCTTTGTCAAACATTATTAGGCATATGGAAAGAATATCGTGCTAATTTGGTATTTTCAAACGTCCCACCGAACTGTGAAAATGAAAGCAAGTGGTATAAGCATAATTATCCGAAATGGAAAACTTTTACTTATAGTCGGTCAGTCACATCGCACACGAAATGTCCAATTAAGCATCCCACCAGACATTTACTACAGGACATCTGGTTTCTAGATTGAAATAGACAGTCCAGTCCAATTTAGAAACAATTGAAGGAAGAACTTTACTGAAGGAAAAAAT